CACTGAGCGTGTGGTTTAAAAGGTTTCTAATCTGTGTTTTTGATTATTCTTTGTAAAAGTGTGATTCTAGATTCTTGGTTTTAGTGCCATCAACTATGCCACTAAAAGTTTATAGTAAATTATACGTCGTTTGTGTGGCAAGTTTGTGTGATTTTTATGTGTCAGGGTTCAAACTTTCTCGCACCCTGAAGATCTGCTCCCTAGATTTTTTTAAGGCTCGCTCAGGAGCATAAATCTTGATACCCGCCCTCACGGTTCAATGCGTGCTACTGTGAAGGTTGTTAGTTGTTGGAGGTAGGTGGGTTCATGGTATAGAATATACATATTACATTATACTATATACATATAACATATATACATATATACATATTATACATATATACATATATAAATTATATTCATATATTCACTATATAGCATATATACATATATACATATATACATATATACATATAAACATATATCATATATAAATATACATATATACATATATACATATATACATTATCATATATACACATATATACATATATACATATATACATATATACATATATACATATATACATATATACATATATATGTGTGTGTGTGTGTGTGTGTGTGCGCGCGCGCGTGTGTGTTGGTATATATAAAGGCTGTAAACTACGAAACCGTGTGACCGATCTCCATGAAAGTTGGCACATTACGTGTTTTTTACCGAAAAGGTTTGTGTGTTGTTAATTTTGTTGTGACTTCTAGTTGGCGTTGCAGATCAAAATTGCGCTTCATTTTAATTCAATTTCTATTCAAATTGCGCTCCACCTAAGCTTGATTGTTGCTGATCGTTACCGCGTGACAAAGGCCGAGGCCCAGGAGACAGGACGCGCACGATGGAGACTGATGCAGAGAAAGAGACGAAGAGAGGCTGTGTCGGAGGAATGCAGAGACATTGGGACGGCGAGAGACAGAGACAGAATCAACGATCAACTGATAAGAGGGACAGAAAGAAATATAGACAGAACCACAAAGTGACAGGCAGACACGCAGAAAGAAACAGACACGGATAGACGGACGGAGACAGAGAGAAACGAAGATAGGGACAGAGACGGCGACAGAGGGACAGAAATGGAGGGGACAGGGACATAGAGACTGCGACAGACAGACACGGACACAGAGAGAGAAAAAGACGGGGGCAGAGAGACGGACAGAACAGACAAGCTTAAGAGGCACAAGTCGCCGACGAGCGTAAGAGACAAGATAGAGACACATGGAGGGACAAAGAGACAGACGCGGACAGAGACACAGAGGCAGAGACACGCAGAGAGAAACCAACATGGAACAGACATAGACAACAGATATAGAACCAATAGAGATACAGACATTTTTCCACCATAGAGAAGACATTTTTTCACAAGCATTGAATATAAAAACGGGCAAACCGGATATTTTGCTAGTTATCTCTAAAAGGCCAGAGCGTTTTCAGTTAATAGGATCTTAACCTAAGTACGCAGTTGAAGACTTTGCCCTCGATCTTACGCCGCGTGGCCTCCACCTGCCAGTCTGTTGGCGCCGGTCCAAAATGGTCCTTCAACTTATGCTCGTTTGTGCATTCTGTTATATGTACGTAGATCCATCCTGCCTTTATCATTTAAGGTGGTTAGAGCGAGATATTCCCCAGTAGACAGAAAGTCCAATTACGTTCAAAAATAATTATTTGCGAGATAAGTGGGTATTGTGGGACCTACATAAACCAAAGAGGGACTTTTATGCTGAGTTTCATTTAATTATTCAAATAAATTTAGTTTAATAGATGTAAAATAAAAATATTTTAATACCACATGAAGAGCTACCATTGACTAGTTTCTTAACTAGTACCAACAGATCGCGTGGCCAAGGAATGAAAAATTGAAGCATAAGATTGAACATAAAAAAGCACTATTACACAATTAGTAAGAGCAAAATCATAAAACGTAAGGTTATAGACACATATCTATAAATATTTGTGCAGTAATTGCTAATAATGGCAAACATTTCCATGTGTGAGTGGGGCAAAAAGTCTATAATAAATTGGGCAACACCGTAATGTCCTTGAGATTGGCATGACTGATCAGAGCTCATGCTTCTTCAAAGTTTCGTTGTTTTGAATCACTATGAATACTGTTCGTTGCCTGGTCGACACGCGGTAAATATCACAATCTAAACGAATTGGCGGAAATTTTCTTTCCAAGGCGGAATTTGAGAGAAAACGAAATAATTCCCCCATTATTAGGAGAAAAAGTACGTAATAAAAAGTTTCAAATATATTTCAATGTTTGTTTCTCTCTAATTTTTATTTCTTGAATTACCTGAACCAATGGTAGGACAAACCTTAGATTATTCGATTGCTTAACAAGATCAAAAGTTTGGCTCTCACCAACATTGTAAAAAGCTTTATATTTAACTTGACAGACATCGTAATCATTGACTTCTACTGCTCTTTATTATCCTTCTTATTACAATATATTTTTTCTGTTATTCCCCTATTTTATTTTTGCTTAGTTAATTAAACTTCATTATAAATTTTTAATGTTTTAATAGTTTTGATTGAAAGTTTAGAACTATTTTAGCAATTGCAATGTGCCATATTATTTCCAACGGCGTGGTACAAGTAATTCATAGAAACTATTTGCTGGTTTTCAGCATAATTTTATATCATGTTATGATATTGATTTAGATGCAAATTATTGTGTAAAGTTAACATCAAGTTAAAGCTGATAAAATGAAAATACTGCATCAGATAATTCTGAGAGCTGTATTATTGAGACCTTCAATAATAAAATTATACCATTGTTGGAGATAAAATCTTCAAAAGAGATTTCTAAGTGGCATAGTCTTTTGTAATTGTTTGTCTTGATGTTGCACTCAAAATGAAAAAAAGGTTTACATTTTTTGAAAATAAGATGAGAACCATTCAAAATGCATTATTGATCAGAAAATGCAAACAATTAGATAAAATATAGTGCTGAATAGAAAAGGAGTTTCTAGTAAAATACTAAAACTACCAAATGCTGATATATCATTCCTCTTACAATTTCAATAAAATGTAATTATTAATTATAAATGTAATTATTAAATTTGCCCAAGCGGATTTAAATACTATAGGCCTTCAAGCACAAAATTATACTGGGCACTCATTCAGACAAATCTTTAAAACTAAAACTTTGAATAAATCTAAAAAACACTAATTATGATAGAATAAATCATTGTTCCAATAGATGTAAATTAACAAATTGCTTTCAAAGTAGAAATTGCTTTTAAATTTATCATTTACAAGTACATGTTTGGTTTCTTTTTGTTCCATTCAATTTATTTTAAAATCAAACATTGTTGTTCAGTAAACTATTTGATTAATGCTTATTCAAATAAAAACATTTTATGAAGTTTTGAATATTTATTTTAAAAAAACGGGCACGAGGATGGGAGTCCCAAGCCTAATTTTGCTAGGAGGAAATCCAACTCTGCATTCACCTATATATTGAATGGTTACCATAACATTTCATAAAATGTTTTCATTTAAGCTCAGTAAATCCCCAGTATTTTATTAACACCAGTAAAACAGTATTTTATCATTGCAACACATTTGAAGCCACTGCAAAGTCTATTTCTTTCTGAATTGAATGCCCACTCAGTAGCAATACCGTTTGTGGTGCTGATCTATGCTAAAGACTTCTGTGTAAGCATCTGTGGTGCAAAAGACAATGGGAATCCACCATAAAAAGAGAATATGAATAATTTTCAAATAATTGAATAAATAATCATTGTTCAAGAGCAAGAAAATGACGTACGACACAAAAAAATAATACTGTACTGAATGTTTAAAAAATTCTATAAACTCTCAAGATCACCTATTTTCTCAGAGTAGTATCAAAGTGAGTCATTGGGAATATTAATTGAATTAAAATTTCATTCAAATCGCACTAATCGTTATATCCATAAAAATCCAGTTTTCTGAATATCTGGTTATTATGAAACGCAATGTTCTCCAGGAGTGATGATATCATAATTGATCCCAGACGATCCAAAGAAATGTATGAACTCTTGCCAGGTCTTGTCACTCGGTTTGAATAAAGCGCGTTGAGCGCGCGGTGTTGCCGAGATGCGCGTCACTGTCCCGACCCCTCGAAAGCGCGCGAACGTCTCCCTTTGGACTGATTTAGTCGTATATTTTTGCAAAATTCTCCCATTTGAAACGGTAGATTTCCTTCAAATAGTGCATGTTGATTCTTCAAGATGCTAGGTACCAAAAGAAAAGTTTTTAAAAGCATGTTCAACAGTTAATTTTCTCACAATTTTAAAATTTCAGGTCAGATCTCTCAGGTCCCCACAAGAGCCCATGTTAAAACAGCAAACTTAACAGTTTGGTTACGCAAAAACTGGACGGATAAATCGATTCAAACTCTACCAGAACATTGTAGAACCTCTTATCTTTCGATTAATACAATAAAAAAAGGCATGTTAAACGTAACACTTATCTCGCTCTAACCACCTTAAGCTATCGGCAGCGGGTGTGACGGAGGCTCGGGCGCGTCAATTCCGCTAAGTTCCATACTCCCCCGTGCTCGGCACTTCCCAGCATCGATCCGAGGACCGCCAGGGTTAGGCCTCCCTTGCGAGCAATGAAACCCTGCCATGCGGGTGCATCGGAATATTGGGATCGGGTGCTGGTATTCATTGAGCACCAGCGGCAGGGCCATCCCCCCTTGCGACTCGCCAGGCGTGAGCCCAGCTAGCCATGTGCTCCGTAGGGCCCAACGACGCGCCCGCGTCGGGGAAATTTAGATCTGAGCGAGTGGGCTTCCATCGATAGCAAAACATCGATGTTGAAAATTAAAACATGTCAGAAACACATCGACGAAAAACCTTCAATGTTTTGAGACTCGGCAGTATCCTCTAACATTAAGTTCGTGTGTAATTAAATGTAATTTGACAATGTTTGACAGTGTTTATGAATTCACCGAAAACGCGTATAAGGTACCAACCCTACGCCCACAGCGTATTTGTTAACCATATCCCAATGTACGAACTGAATATGAAACAAAAAGGAAATATAATGGGATAGAGGACATCTCGGGCTAGTTTGGTCGTTGTTGAAAGTACAACCAGCATTCCTTTGGATCCAACAAATGAATAGCAGTGTTACTAACAGTTATTATTTAATATTTTAACTTTTACAGTATCGTGATCCTGGGGAAGTTTTCATTCAGAAATAAAACCTCGCAAAAGAAAAAAATCGATGTTAATAAAACATCGAAGTGAAAAACATCGACATCGATATCGCATGCCTACTTCCATCTCCACCGAGTTTGTCAGCTCTTTCCTGCGCTCATTCGGCTGCCCCGCCTAGCCAGTGCCATCATTCGACGAGTCTCTTTTCGAACACCATGGCAGACCAGCCTACCCATTGCCCCCCCCCCCCGTTTCGCCCGCCCTGGGCGGAGCGGGATGATCTGGCTAAGAACTTGGATGTCCAAACACTCCATCGGTCGTTCCCACTCGTCCACCTAAGAACTTGGATGTCCTTCCCCTTCGAGGCGGCATGTTGCTTTACCTTCCCAAAGACCTTCCGACGGGGAGCCTGGCACTGCATGCCGGCCGGTCGGTCCCTGTGTTGTGGGAGATGCCGAAACTGGGGGAACGATTCTCCACCAAGGGGCTGACCGGGCCCTTGTTTGCGCTTAGTAGGCACGCCTGCCTAACCTCACCCATCAGAGCTGTCGGTCTGGCCGACTTGCAGCGACAGGCATCGACTTAAGCGTGGAAGGTAACGTTCCAATCCTCCGGCCTCACCCGGAAGTCCCTCTTACGTCATTCGGCGCCCTGTCATGATCCCTTTCTGGGAACACAGCGTGGGTAGCACAGGAATGTGGGTGAGCTGCCTGGCCGACCCCCGGTCTTGCCATTTACTCACGGCCTACTCGCTGACGTGACGCTGACGACCTGAGCGAGGCCAAGAACAATTGCCGTCCGTGATCAGTGCCCCCTCCCCTTGCGGATTCGATATCATCTGAGCTGGGTGAAGGATTGTTTGGTGTGAGGGAGTATTTATTGCGGACTATTCCACTCGTGGAATTAAAAGCAATAGTGTTCAACTATACGTTTAAAATGCCCAAATCAGAGCGGTGTATCTCAAAAAAATTGTCGCTTTTCTATCCGATTTTTTTACTACTAGCTAGTAATAAGCTGCGACTCATCTCTCTCAGGACCCGGTATATATCGTTCACTACGTTGTGAAGTAAGCCTCATATCTACTATAACATAGTCTCTTTGGTAATAACATGCTTTCAGTCATTTTCAACATTTCACGCATTTTGGGACTGTTAGACTTAATTTCATTCGTGAAATAGTCCTATTAATGCCACTCGCGCTTTGGACATCCTCGCATAAATCCCCTCTTCACTTCATGAGTCGGGGATTTGCCGACAATTTCCAAACCACTCAGGATACCTCAAGCACCTATGACTATTCCACTCATGAAATTGAGACCAACAGTGTTTAAGAATACATACGATATTGACAAATCAGAGCAGTGATTCACGGAAGGATAATCAGTTTTTCTTATCACCTCCTCAGTGCCCAACCATTAACTGCGATTCATCAATCTTAGAAGGTGGTATGTATCGATTCCTGGGATGTAAATGCTCTTTTTCATTGTCATATTCAATGTACGAAATGGAGAAAAGAGTTGGTGATGCATCCGAAGATGAAATATATGAAATTATTCAACATGACAGAATACAGAAAAATAGATCATTCGTTTGGAGACAATTTCAAAATTTTGGAAAGGAGCGAAGCTACGTATTAGAAGAACATAAGAAATTTGCACATTTTGAAGGTTGGTTATAAATCATTAAATAATGAAAATAGCAACGTTCCTACAACATTCAATTTTGATGGTTTTGTATTAAATAATTGTATATTTAATAAGTAATTCGTCAAATAAACCCAAAAGTTTCATGTTTTCGTTACGTGAGTTTTCTTTTTGTTCATATTCATACTGTATTGATCCTTACTTATAGAGTTTAACTTCCTTAATTTTAATATTGCAGACGGCCTTGCATAAGTAAACAAAGAATGCAGATATCAACGCAGTAATTGGAAAACATTAAAAATATGTAAACATAGATTAACTTACCTAACGAGTATTAATGAACCGGCTTCCCGAATTCGAATTTCATTAAAGAAATAGCCATACTAAATACCACTCGTGCTTTGTAAATTCTCAGACAAATCCCCTCCTCGCTTTGCGAGTCAGGGATTTACCGATAATTTCCAAAGCCCTCCTGAGATTACTTGGGAGCGTAGGAGCCGATCAAAGCATCTCGGCTTCGGCTCAAGAGATGGTTTCTCCAGCCTCGGCCAAAAACCACTCGATGCAACTCGTGCGCTAGGAGCTTGTGCTGATCCTTACACCGGCATTGTTTAATGGCCAGAGGGTTGACGGAGACTCTGACACATACACAATGCATTCGTAATCCAAAATAGATATAAGGATCCTGTACACACGTGAGACAAACGGTCTGCGCCCCAAAAGCTACCAGTAAGGGTGTGAAAGACGTTGTGGTAATACACATCGGCTCTTCAATTTTAAAAAAAGTTTTTTTCGCTAAATTAAGGTCTTGTCGAAATTTATTCAAAAAATTACAAAGTTGTCAATGAAGACCGATACACAGGTCCTCCAATTACTGGTGTTATACCATTGATAGCAATGGCAAACAGTAACTCGGAACTGATCTCTGGGAGACCCCGTTTTGTAACTGGTGAGTGGGGAATAGCCTGTCAATAAGACAGACGACGCGGAAGTATCTTGACGAAAGAAAGGTTGCTAAAAACACTGGGAGCCGGCTCCTCGAGACCCCAAGAATGCCGTACGTTCAGATGGTGACGTATGCTTTCCCTAAATCGAAGAAAATTGCTACCAGTTGTCGTAGCACAAAATAATTTCAGATCTGGTTAGCGGGGGTCACTAGATCATCCATGGTTGACTTGTGCTTCCTGAAAAACCATATTGAATAGATAGATGTAAGCACTTAACTAGATTCCAGAAACCACCCACGAAACGCGTGTTCATTCGTTCTAAAAGCTTGCAAACAGCTTGTCAGCATTATAGGGCGGTTTGTTTCGACCTTTCCTTCTTTGGAAATTGGAATAATAATGGCTTCGCGCCTATTCCTAGGAATGACACATGTTCATTCAAATCTACTTGAAGATGCGGAGAAGGAAAAACCCGTATTTTCCGGGTTTCAGCATTTAGTTATATATGCAGTCTGGTCCTCAAGCAGAATCTTTCGTACGAGTGAGGGCATAGGAAAATTTCAACCACGAAGAAAAAGCAATCTTCCTCCGTGCGACTTGAAAAATCCAATCTGCAGTTCTTCGCTTTTCTCTTGGTGTTTAAAAATTTAAAAGGGTACTGTACAGTACAGGAGAGTCTTTCGTAGTGAGAGGCTAATACAACTATTTATTATGGGGATTTATTATTCCATTTACCAGAAACCCTGAAACACACGGTGCGGGAAGTCTTCCACCGATCTGTCGCACCATTAGCCAAACTACTTTAGGGGGTGGCAAGAAAATGAAATACAGACACTCCAGGAAGCACTTACTTTATCGTATTACCAATATTATTATGCTGGTAATACGAATCTCGAATTATTAGTCTCTCGCGCAGTGAGGTGCTCTACAACAGCTACCAGGACCTTTTGATGGCCAAGATGCCTGCTCCCCTTGCAAAGCCAGGATTCGATTCAAGATGGCGGCCGTGTAGAGAGTAAACAAAGTTACCTCCATATTTTCATCACTAATATATAATCTATTGATATTTGTCGTGATAAATATTTTTGCAGAGTGCACTAACTAAGTAATCTGAACCAGGATAAACATTAGCCAAACTAGAAATAAACTATTTTATTAATTAAATCGCTAATATCACCTACACTCTAACCGACCGCCACTCGCGTGTTCAGTGACAAGTGATAGTACCGAATAATATTGTGTACCGAATAATATTGTGTAGTCTTATTCGTCTTTAGTGTGTATTTTGTTCACACAAGTGTAGTGTAGTGTAACACAGTATCTACATATATAGTGTCTTAAGTGCAGTGTGCCTGTGAAGTAATCTTAAGTGCACGTCACATAAGTATTGCATGTAACTAAACTCACATTAACACTCGTTTGTCAAAACTCATCTAAATACTATATCTCCTGAATAAACCAAATTCTTCTTTTAAAAAAACTTCAACAACAAAAAAACAACCTCCCGCTAAATTACACTTACAATCTAAATTATATCGATAGTCTATTCTTAGTACATACACCAACATGCACCACCACGAAACCCTTTTGAAACCCAACGCCGACCTCCAGAGAGCCTACAAACATGTAGAGGCTGCATTCCAGCAGGTGAATGAAATAAAGGATGAAATCCGTAGGCTGGAAAAGGTCGTTCAAAACACTAATGTCTGGACAGTAATTTCTACAGCCAAAACAAACAAACATTTAACCAAGCCCAGCATCACAACATACACACATAATGCCCTCCCTACAAACAACAGGTTCCATCTCCTCCAAGGACCTTCCCCCCCCCCCTTACCAATCCTCTACCTCATTCTCCATAAAACCTCTACACAAGCATGCACACAAACAACACAAGTTGCAGTGTCCAGACAGACTTCAAAACCAACTATAACCAGTGGACCTGCAAACACAACTTGCAAAGACAGCACACTCTCTCTAAAACAGAAAGTGTTAATATTAGCGGATAGCCATGGCAGAAACATGTCCTCCAAATTGAGAGAGCTTCTTCCCTCCAAATACACGATCACAGGCATGTTTAAGCCTAATGCTCGTTTGGAAGACGTGACTAGCAACTTGGAAACACTGACACAGCACTTTACAACCCAGGACACAGTAATTATAATAGGTGGGCAGAATGATATTAACCATGGCAGCCAGCTAGAACCCAGCCCACAAATAGAAAAAATACAAAAGGCTGCCCAGAGAACAAATGTATTTAAGGCAACTCTGCCCCCTTGGCACAACACCCTTATAAACAACAAGATTAAGAAAGAAAACAGCATACTTACACAGCACCTGAGAGACACACAAATTACACTATTTAACTTAGACTTTCTCTCAGAGACTCTCTTCACCCGGCATGGTCTCCACCTGAGACAAGCGGGCAAACACGCACAAGCATGCAAGTTAGCCACACACATCCTAGAGGCTCCTTCACTGCTAGCACCATCTCCTGCACTCTCTACACCTCCACCAACCCCTACTCCCTCCACACCAACCCCTTCTACTTATACTAATTCAGCCTTGGCCCCTAGTCCTGTGACTCCCACTCCCACTTACGCTGTCGTAGCCGCCAACCCTCCAATCTCCCAAAACTCTCCCTCAAAACCCCTCGATCCATATCCTACTACCTGCGTGCTGTTCCAAAACCTGTCCAGCACCTGGACCTGTAGCAACAAATCACTTCTACACCAGTCACCACTGCAAAACACAGCACCTTCAAGATCCTACATCAGAACATTTGATCTTTAAAAAAAAAATTGAAATCAGGCTAACATATCACATAAAACACACTGATGCAATCTGTATAACTGAACACTGGCTCATGGAGGATCAAATTAAAATGACACAAATACCAGGTTTCTACATGGCTGGTTACTTCTGTCGTAGGGACAAACACCCCAATATCAATCACACGCATGGAGGCGCATGCATATATCTGGCCAACAACTGTGAATCCAAAGAAGCAAATGAATTCAAACAAATAACATGCGACTCAGACATAGAATGTTCAATTGTAGAAATTCCAAAGCTGAAAATCTTCCTCCTAAGCATTTATCGAGCACCAGATGGGAACCTTCAAATATTCCTTATAAACTTAGAATTAATTTTGGATAAATTAACAAAGCGGGCTCATTACTCTATTATAATCTGTGGCGATATAAACATTAACTTCCTACCTACAGCTAATACTACTCATGAAAGAGAGAATCAAACTAATAAACTTAGTACGTACGTAGTAAACATTCAAAATACAAAAGAGAATGAGTCGAACAATAACAAATATAAAAAGAACAGAGTCCTGCAGACCTCATTCCAAAAAATTTAACATACTTCCACTGCCTTGTATTTTTATTTATGAATTTATAATGTTTGTAAAGAAAAATCTAGTAAACAATGACACACTTTACAAATTTAACTCAAGCTTACACCCCTATAACACAAGGCAAGCATGTAACCTTCATCAACCAATGTGTTCAAGCATATTATACCAAAAGAGTACATTCTCTTCAGGTATACAATTCTTCAACAAATTACCAATACATCTGAGAAACACGACAGGCTTGTACAACTTCAAAAAAAAAAACTTAAACACTTCCTTGGGGAAAAACTTTTTTATAGCATTCAGGAATACCTCAACAACTAACATGTGCAATGTAATTTCAGGTGCTACAGTAGGATTAGATATAGAAATAGGAAAAAATCTGCCCATAACCTGCCTCCTCCTCATTTCAAGATTTTACCAAGGAATATACTAACACTGTTAAATCATATGAAGCTGATACCATAATTGTTATCATGTACTGTTAGTATACTCTTATTATTATTATTATTATTATTATTATTATTATTATTATTATTATTATTATTATTATTATAAGTAGTAGCAGTAAAATCACTATATCACGTAAATGATATTCTAAAAATGAAATGGTATAAATCCTGAAATGTTAAAATATTTTAAATTAAATTGAAGTAAGTCAAATGTTCAACTAATTGCTGCTAAAAATAATTATCTTCTATGTAATATCTTAATATATCTACAACAAGTATTGTATAATCACTAGGCCAATGACCCATCTTGATCAGGTTTTTTTGTCCAGTTTCCCTGGTCCTTTGAGCAAATGCTGAGATGTCCCCTTGTTTTGCTTCTGGACAATAAAAATAAACGTTAACTTCACTCGCTGCTCCCAAGACGTATTTATAACATATTTGACTCGTCATACACGATTGTAATTGTATATGTGACTCAATAATAATAATAATAATAATAATAATAATAATAATAATAATAATAATAATAATAATAATAATAATTATTATTATTATTATTATTATTATTATTATTATTATTCGACGTAACGCGACTGATCGGAGGTTTAATGTTCGTTCCCTTATAATAAACTATTCTGCATCAAAAAAAACCGCTAATAGATTTGAAATAATAGTTCTGTCGTCAATGTAAGCCTCCACCTGTCTCGCAAATAACGAAATGAGGGCTCAAGGAAACGGGATAATAGACCACTTCCACATACAATTACAGTGGCTAAAGAAAGAAGCAATGACGGCTCGTGGTTAGTTCTTGGTCAGTGTGCTCGCTTTCACTACGCGGTCACGAGTTCGATTTCCAGTCGAGTCAAGACTAGTGTGCGTTTTCCTTGCAATGTTCAGTGTCTGTTGCTGTGTCAATGAGAAAATTCACTTCTCAGTTTGAGAAGACCGGAATACGGCGTGGGGATGTCTACGTGCTAATCACACGTACCCCCTCAACCCATGGCCGCGAGGCTGGGACTTTGCCGGTAGGCCTGAGCCCGTTCACGGTACATGTACGTACGTACATACACACATACATACAAAGAAAGAAGTAATAAATAGTATGTTTGCAACAGTTTAAAATGTAATAAAGGTAACTTTAAAAATGTTCATATGTTCAGTTCAATATTTAAAATAATTTAATTCCAAGAGTCCGATTCCAAGTGTTTTTTGAAACAAATATTAAATTGAATTTCCAAAAGTGCTCTTTTTAAAGCATAAATTAAGAGGAATTAAATATCAAACCACATTCTCAATTAAGCCAAACACAAATAACCAGTAGAAAATCAATCCCACTGGTGTTTTTTTTATGTTTACAATAAACACTTTCTTGAAGCTGGGAGTAGCAAGCGATTTCTATAGCCTCACTTCAGATGAGTCTTATTTTTCTAAATTCAGTGCACATTGAAGTGCAATTGGAAAGTCTTCAACTGTATCAAAATCTTGCAATGTGAAGACATTTTAATCCTCATTCAGAATCTCTAACACCTGCCTTACACGAGAGTTGAGAAATCAGTCCTAAAATTGTAACTCATTGTTACAATTATTTAAATTGGTATTACAATTCTAATACAATTTAAATAATACAAACAGTAGTGATCCTTACTGAGTGTTAAATGAGTACTGCACAGCTTTAAGTAAGGTTTCAGATTGAAGAAAAACTTTGAAAATTTTTTTAATCAAACAAGGCAGATATCATAAAAAATTATATTTAAATGGAAAATAAAATGGTTATGTAGAAACACACATAAGTTGCAATATTTCTAATTAATAAATTAGGAATGCAATTAAAATCAATTTATACTGAGAAAGTTAGTAATGAACATTCCAATAATGAAATCTTTAAGAATAAGTATTTCACAACAACACACAAAATGCACTTCACCAATTAAAATTTTGTTTCACTTGATTCATATCTGACAAAAATAAAAATATTAATTTTCTTTCAGAGTTGAAAGTGATCACTAAACATCAATCAATTAACTACCTGAGGACACCAGACATTATTTTAAAATTTTTTATAGATAGACTTACAAGTTACTTTGCTCTAAGGATTATAGAACATATGTAGATGACACTTTTTAGATCAACAGAAATAAAATTGACCAGAATCTACATGTCTTCAATAATTACCACAGCAGATTACAAATCACACATGAAATAGAACTGCATAACAAATT